TAGTTCCACCACCTTCGCTATTCGCTCCACCTCCAACTCCACCTCCTCACTATTCTACTCCTGTGAGTATAAATGTTTTAGTTTGTATGTTCATGCTTACGGTCAAATCTAGTGGAGTATGAAAGTTTGATTCATGTATGGTATATATTTATCTTGTCTCACACATGCAATCTCTTCTCCTTTGTGTAGAATCAATCGGCGGCATCGAACGATCATCATGCTTCAGCGAATCCTTCACCAAATTAGTCTCATTGGCCATCTTGGTGATGATACTTGTGGTTGTTAATGGTACTTCTATTTGCAATTGTGGTTGTAGATGATGAAGCACTTGGATTACTTATGAACTTATTTGTGATATATTGTGAGACATGTGACGTTTGTGATATATATATGGTGTTGGTGATATATATGTGTTGTTGATGATATATATGTGATGTTGGTAATGTTTGTTATATATATATATCTTCTGTTTGTTTGGATGGAATGTAAAAAACAAATAAAAAGGTTGTTTTCAGTCACTTTACCGAGTGCAATGGCCATGACACTCGGCAAAGTGACGACCTGAGAACATGCCTAGGAACATGCTTTGCCGAGTGCAAAGGCCATTGCACTCGGCAAACATCACAGATTTGCCGAGTGCCACGGGCCAGGCACTCGATAAAAGTCGCCTGTTTGTCGAGTGTCTTGCCGGTGGCACTCGGCACAGTGGCCACCGTTGCCGAGTGTCTGAGTCAACGACGCTCGGTAAAGAGGCGACCTTTGCCAAGTGCTTGACCTTAACACTCGGCAAAGCCGCCGTCATGGTGGCGCTTGCCGTCACGGCGACTTTTCTTTCCGAGTGTTAGATTAGCACTTGGCAAAGAGGTCTTTGTCGATAAACTGTTTACCGAGTGCCCTTTGCCGAGTGTAACACTCGGCAAAGGCTTTGCCGAGTGTATATCGGCCTTTGCCGAGTGCCTGAGACACTCGGCAAAGAAGCTGAATCCGATAGTGATGGTAACATGTGAACTCTGACAAGATACTTATCTGGAGCAGCCGTGGTGATTGGGGTTTCGCATGATCATCCGAAGGCTTGAATAGATAAACCCAGCGGAAGGTACCGCTTTTCATGCGAGGGCTCAGAGTCGAAGATATATCATCTGCCATTTGAAGATACTTGGACAGATAAATCCTGCCTTCGTGCGAAGGCTTAAACAAATCAATATGGCCTCCGATAGATAATCCGTCATCCGAATGCACTCCGATAGATAATTCCGGCCGAAGGTGCAGCTCAGCCCATCCAATGATTTGAATGATCCAGCGGACAAAATCCCAGACAAAACCATTAATTTCACGAAGACCAGTATGCAGTTTTTTTGCCTCGTCAGGCAAAAGCGAAGGTTTGCCTCCTGAGCATCACATGTTGATGGATCGTCTAGGCTAGCTTCTTTTCCTTGCACACTTTGTGCATGTGAGTAGATACCAATTAATTACCTGCACGTAACAAGTAGAAATAATCTCCGAGCTTTTGTGGGTTAGGAGGTTATATTTTGATGAAAGGTCGGAGCTCGAGGTTAGATGATGTAATTTATGCAGCGAAGAAGGTGACTCAAAGATGTGTGTACATATATCGGTGCTCAAGGCATGAAGGTGACACAATTTATTATATTTTTAAACAACCGAAGGCTTTGGAAGCTTTGGTCCATTTTTTTTTAAACAGGGCCCAAGGTTCAGCCGAAGGCTTTAGAGCTTCTGGTTTGTTGGTTTTTTTGAAAAAAGTAGCGAGGCTTTAAGAAGGTCTTACTTTCTTCTGGAGGTTCTTACCTTCCCTCGAAGTTTTGCACAGATTCAAGCCTTCTCTTGCGAGAAAAAAACAGAATTTCCAGCTTCACCGACGAAGGTCGCCGCTCGAAAGAAAACTTGAACTTCCGGCTTCATTAAGGAAGGCTGCTTGCGAAGGATGCTGGTGAAACTGATCGAAGGCTAATACTCCGAGAAAAAAACTCAATTTTTGGTTTCGCTCACAAAGGCTTATAAGACTGATCGAATGCTGATGTTGTGAGAAAAAACCCAATTTTCTTCTTCTGACGAAGGCTGATGAAACCGGTCAAAGGCTGATGCTCCGACAAAAAAAAAACCCAATTTTCTTCTTCTCACACAAAGGCTGATGAAACTGATCGAAGGCTTAAATGTTCTGGTGAAGGCTGAGCTTTTTGCTTCATGATCTTCAGGAAATAAGTTTCGTGAGAGTGCCAAAAGTCAGAGTCGAAGGTTCCAGCTTCAGACAAGCAATATTCCAGCGTTGACATGATGAAGGTTCCAAGTTGGAATGCACTCAACAATAAAAACCTGCGCACAAAAAACAGAAACACTTGCGAGGTCTTTTGATTAGCTTATGACGATTTTGTTACCAAGTTCTTGATGAGTTTGAAACTCAAGCGCTGCGCTCTCGGTTTTGGAGCAGGTTATTTTATACAACCGAAGACAGCTTTGTTAAAGAAAAAGTTTTTTTTTACAAAAATTGGTACGGCCAAAGATGACTTGGATAGCCTTCCGTAGTTTCTTTTTTGGAAACAGTTGACATTGCCGAAGGCTTGTTTGTCGTTTGGTTTAAGAAAGCTTTTTTTCAGAAAAGTTGTTGTCACGAAGGCTTGTTTGGCCTTAGGTTAAAAAAGTATTTTTTTTTAAAAAAAAGTTGATATTGAAAGAAGTTGATGAGGTGTTACCGAAGCTATCATCTTTGTCGGCTTACTCGTGAAGATTTAAGGAAATCTTACATTCCCCGGAGGTTCAACCCTCTCCCAGAGTTTCTCACAAGCTCAAACCTTTTCTCTTGAGAAACTAATTCGTGCCGAGCACGGTGGGTGCCAATGTTGGGATAAGCGTTCATAACAGGGTTGAAAGTAGAAGCCTCCTCGGAGAATGGTAGCTGGAGAAGGTCCCTCGGTAAAGGCCGGCAGGAGAAGGCTTCCCGGAGAAGGCCGGCAAGAGAAGGCCTCCCGGAGAAGGCCGGCGGGAGAAGGTCTCCCGGAGAAGGCCGACTGGAGAAGGCCTCCCGGTGAAGGCCGGCCGGAGAAGGCCTCCCGGAGAAGGCTGGTGGGAGAAGATTTCCTGGAGAAGTCCGGCGCGAGAAGGCCTCCCGGAGAAGGGCAGCGGGAGAAGGCCTCCTGGCGAAAGCCAGCGGGAGAATGTCTCCCGGCGAAGGCCAATGGGAGAAGGCCAGCTGGAGAAGGCCTCCCGGAGAAGGTCGGTGGGAGAAGGCCAGCTCGGAGAAGGCTGGCCGGAGAAGGTCTATGACGAAGGCGTGGCCGGAGAAGGTCCACCGCCGAAGGCCTGGTCAGAAAAGGTCCGTGACGAAGGCCCGGCTGGAGAAGGTCTCCCGACGAAGGCCTGGTTGTAGAAGGTCTCCCGACGAAGGATCGGAACGAAGGCCTCGGACAAAGGCCCGATGATTGTTTTGTATAAGGGCTTTGCGAAGAAGGCTCCATGATGGAGGCTCCATGGAGAAGGCTCCGCAACGATGGTTTAGTGTGGAGGATCCACGGAGAAGGCCTTGCGACGAAGGCTCCAACATGTGAGAGGGGAGAGTGAGGCGACGGCTAGGTTTTGGGAAAAATGAGTGGGAGAGGAGGAGCCCCCTTATCCTCATGTTCTTGGCATTATATAGGCAAGCGGAAATTTATGAGCGACCCCTCAGTGGGGGTAGGTTTTACATGCCACTCCAATGGTACTAGTTAGGTATCTTTTAGGGGGCTTTGGTTCATATGAATATGGCATGTCCCAACAGCCAAGATTATGAACTTGGCCAGCCAGGATATGCTTGCATCGTTCACTCTCTCGGCCATACTAACTCACCATTTAATTGCGCTTTGTCTATGGCTCTGGGCTATTGACACCATTGGCAAGCTCCGTAGGACTTTCCTCTAGACCGGAACCGATGTATGTGCTAGCGGGAAATGCCAGGTTGCCTGGTCAAATTTTTTTTTTTTTTTTTTTTTTTTTTTTTGAAACGCGTACTCGGTGGGCTAGGCCCCATCGATTTGCGTCGTTTCGACATTGCCTTTCAGCTAAGGTTGGTGGTTTCGGCTAAGGCACTGTGTCCAGCTCGACATTAGCCCTCCCCCTTTCAATCCTTGAGGAAGCCAGATTTGGGATCCGACGTTGTTTCGTCAGCTGAGGTTGCTACTCCCTATGCTACTCTCTTTCTCTTTCGCTGCTTCTTTCTTGTCAATGCATCCCTGCCGCCAGTCGTCCTCCCAGTTCTGCCGCCATCTTGGCATCCGCGTGACCGCCGTCTTGGCTCTAGCACGCCACTGGGCGCGTGCCCAGCCCCACCGCGTGGGAGCCATCTGGCCGTGGCCCGGCCCTGCTTCGTACGCCACCGCGCGGGAGCTGCCCCGCCGTGCGGAGCCACTCTGGCCGTGTGCCTCTGCTCAGAGCGTGGCACCGTCCATCTCCAGCTGGCCCGACACCCATGCCCCATGCCTCCGTCCATCTACAACGCGCGGGCCCTTGCCGGCACCGACGGGCCACGCGGGGACGAGAGGGCACGGACGGACGATAGCCACCGTGCTCTGGAGCGTTCAGCAGCCCTAGCGCCAGCCAAGAAAATGCATAAGTCATTTGACATTGCTTAGAAACATAGGCAACTTTTAGATCGGAAATGTACCGCTGTGGTGAAGCCTGGTTGATGAATGTTGGGTACCGAATATTATTTGGTACCCAGATACCATACAGTGAAAGCAAATATAAATAGAAAAACCAAAACGTCTTATAATTTGGAACAGAGGGAATAAATTGCAATGCAAGTTTGCTGATCAATCGTGCAAATCCATAAACCCCTAAACTGTATAAGAAACTGATGTTCACAGTCGAAAACAAAAGAAACACAAGCCTATAAACTGGCTCACCACTCGCGAATAATTTGTACGACGATGCCACACCCAGACACTGGCACTCCATATCTGTCGACCTCCATGCTGTGTCCAGCATGTCTATGTCAGTAATGAAGGCATCCCAGATCAGCCTCCCATCTCGACGATGATCTTTCCGGTGGCATGGCCCTCGATGCTCTTCTGCCAGGCCTTGCTCACCTCACTCAGTGGGAACCTCGAGTCAATCAGTGTCTTGAGCTTGCCGTCCTTCAGCAGCCCGACCAGGAACTCTAGGTCCGCCTTGTTGGGCGACAGGAGCAGTGGCACCAGCCACTTTCTGGCGAAGGTCACCATGTGCAGCGCCCATTTGAGGATGGAAGTGAAGTTTGGGGTGACGTCGATCACCCTCCCGGTGGTGGCCAGAACAGGCTTGAACGTCGACCAGCTGATACGGACAGCGCAATGGATGACAACATCGTACTTCTTACCTGAGGGGCTCTGCAGGCTAGCACCCTCTGGCGTCTTGTAGTCAATCACCTCATCCGCGCCCAGGCTCTTCACCAGCTCCATGTTACGCGCGCCACAGGTGGCGGTGATGTGGAGACCAGCCAGTTTCGCGAGCTGCACGGCGTAGTGACCGACGCCACCTGATGCCGCGGTGATGAGAACGTTTAAGGTCTTGCCAGTACCGTCGAACTTGGCGCCGATGGTCCTAAGCGCCTGGAGCGCAGTACCAGCAGCAACAGGCAGCCCTGCGCCTTCAACAGCAAATACCTCGGGAGGCCTCTTGACGGTCAGAGTTTCTGATGCCACAGCATACTCTGCAAGTCCACCTCCATTCTGGTAAAAAAAAAGGACAATGTGTTAACATCAAGGCAGAACATCCCCTTCCAATAAATGATGAGCACGTCGAACACAAGACACGGAGATCGACTGGTGCATGCAACACAAATTAATAATTCTAGCAATCCAACATACAGCTTTCAACTACAAAAAATTACTAAACGTTCCACATTTCCCTTTTGTACTTGAGTTGATGCCTTCATATATACTCAAAATAACATAGTGAAGAGCATGTGCCTACAAGTGAGTACAGCTTAGCAACAACATGATCTCCGGCTTGGAATCCATTGACTCCTTGCCCAACATCAGCCACAACTCCTGCCACATCAGTCACTGCAGAAGATGGAGGATAAGCAACTCGTCAGTCATTGCCCCGTTATATATATATCTTGCGTGATACAAATTCCTATGTTCAGGATAGTTCATTAGCACAAATAAGATGAAACAAACACTGACTTATTTGTCTCTAGAGTACAAGCATATATAACAATGTGTGAATGATCTAAGATTCCAAAAATGCGTGTCATCATTACCTTTACCTGTTAGTGGAAGATGACAGACAAGATTAAGAACTTCCCATAAACAGTGTGGCACAGGCCAAGTTAAACCCAAGCATAACATATATAGCAAATGAAATAAATGGCCAACTGTTAATCGAAGTCAAAGTCAACTACTATGATTCTACGAAATGAGTAATGAGCATGATTACCAGGGATAAAAGGTAATTTACGAGGCAGGAACGGCCGCAAGATCCCTTTCTGTATCTTCCAGTCCACTGGATTGATGCTTGCTGCTTCCAGCTTCACTAGAAGCTCATTCTTTTGGGCTGAAGGGACTGGAACTTCCACATGCTGCATTTGAGGCAATTTAGAATCGGTGGACTTGTTTCACTGAAAGATTACAAAGCAAAGATTCTCAAAACACAAGGAATAAAAACCCTAATATATTCTAAACCAAAAACAAAATGAAAATAAAAAATCTTGCTGACTCAGACTATGTGTAATGTAGCAAGAGAATCAAGTACTAGAGCAAATAAAGGACCAGATTCCCCAGATCAAATTAGTTTTCCTGTATGTAAAAAGCATTCATCAGTCAGAGAGACACCCAAATTCAGAACTCAGCCATCCAATTGACACCACCCAGTACCAGTAGATAGGCCTGTTCACGCTTTGGTTCGAAGCCGCACAAACTGGCAGAACAACCTGGACCAAACCCCAAATGCAGGTTTTAAATAATGGGTAAGATTGACCGTACAGTACAGAAAGTGAGAAAACCGTTGAACCTCTTGCCATCGGAGTAGCCGTTCTCAGGCCAAGCTCGACACGAGGTTGGTCGGGACTCACGTCATAGAGGTTTTTCGACGAGAGCAGGAGATGCTACAGAGAAGAAGAGAGCAGGGAGCTAGCGCACCTCCTCCTCCAGGGGCGTCATGGCGGCATATATGCACGGCGACGGCCGCGTGGGCCATGTGACCAGACGTGGTTTGAAACCACTAACCCGCTTAAGCTAGCTGTTCCTGGTTTGGTTTGGGTTTCATTTAGAAATAAACCGCCCAAAACCGTGACTGAAGGCCTACTACTATACTAGGTAGATTAATTTCGTTTCTCCCTCCTAATGACCACTTCTGGGCAAGATAAAATACCAACTGGAAATCTGCAGTGCTCTTCTCGGCAACAAAGACTAGCTGACTGTGACACACGTACTTGAGTTATTATCTACAACGCTCCCTGCTTGACCTTAGCAGTCGGAAGTAGCAGGAGCGGAAAAAACTAAAATGGCTTCCATGCAACTGCGTGCTGTGCGCTTACGTACCTTGAGTCCCGCGGCGCCCCCGCCCCAGGCGTCGTACTGCACGGCCCGCATCGTCTCGGGGATGTTGGCCGTCTTGGTGGGGGTGGCGGCAGCGGCAGCGGCCATCGGGAGCAGCAAGCAAGCAAAGCGCCGGCGATTAGAGTCGGTTGACGCCTCCACGGCCTTGCCTGTTTCTGGGTTGGGCTCTGCAGCGTGGTGGCGGGAAGAATATAAACGCGAGGGGTTTGACTTGTCATGAGGCATCTGTATATATCCTGGTTCCTGGAATGAGTGCCGGTAGCATGAGCTTGAAAAGAGGTGGCGCACGCACCTGCAAGCCATGAGACCTCTGACTCGCAGAGGCATTTAGCTCCGATCCATCAACTGCTCTTCCTGCACGTAGCAAAATGTTACCTTGGGTGGTTTGTTGATTGCATTTCGTTGCACTCCTCTGTTGATCATTGTCCCCAATGTAGAGTGATGATGTTTTGATGTCAGCAGCAACTGCGCCACGATGTGTTCTAAAACTCTGTCCCGTGTGAGAGCACGGTTTGATACACTAGTTTCTTTAGTTAGAAAACGTTTGGTAAAACTTCTCCTGTTTGTTGGAAATAGTGAAATAATATATAACTACAATGTCTTGTATTTTTTTCTTTTATTTCTCGGGTGGCTGACCTAAGGTTGTTTTTTTCTTTTTTTCCTCGGTCATCGGATATAAGATTGTTTAATCGACTGATCTAGCACCTGCAAAGAAAATAGAATGGACCGACCTAATTAGGAACTATGTGCGCCATCATCTAAACGTATATCTTCCAAAAAAATTGAGCACATGGATTCAAGTAGGATTGCCAAAAAAATTCAGAAGCGTAGGGTAAAACTCTTCTTGGCTCCAATTTTTCTAGTAAAAAAACGTAGGGTAAAACTTGTCATGTTTATTGGAAATAGTGAAATAACTACAATGCCTCCTATTTCTTTATTTTCTCGGGTGGCCGGCCTAAGGTTTGTTTGTTTTCTTATTATTTTCCGTGGTCGGTCGATGTAAGATTGTTTAATTGACCGAACTAGCACCTGCAAAAAAAAATAGAATGGGCCAACTAATTAGGAACTATGTGCGCCATCATTGAAAGGTACATCTTCCAAAAAAATTGAGCACATGGATTCAAGTAGGATTGCCAAAAAATTCAGAAGCTCCACCAGTGCCTACTATGATGGAACAACTCTTCTTGGCTCCAATTTTTCTAGTTAAAAAATGTAGGATAAAACTTCTCCTGTTTATTGGAAATATTGAAAAAATACAATGCCTTCTATTTCTTTATTTTCTCGGGTGGCCGACCTAAGGTTTGTTTTTTTCCTCGGTCGACCGATGTAAGATTGTTTAATCGACCGAACTAGCACCTGCAAAAAAAAAGAATGGCTGACCTAATTTGGAACTATGTGTGCCATCATCAAAGGTACATCTTCCAAAAAAATTGAGCACATGGATTCAAGTAGGATTGCCAAAAAAAATCAGAAGCTCCACCCGTGACTACTTCGATGGAACAACTCTTCTTGGCTCCAATTTTTCTAGTTAAAATTTGTAGGATAAAACTTCTCCTGTTTATTGGAAATAGTGAAAAAAGTACAATGCCTTCTATTTTTTTATTTTCTCAGGTGGCCGACCTAAGGTTTGTTTTTATTTTTATTTTCCTCGGTCGGCCGATGTAAGATTGTTTAATCGACCGAACTAGCACCTGCAAAAAAAAAAAAAATGGGCCGACCTAATTAGGAACTATCTGCGCATCGATCTTCCAGAAAACTGAGCACTACTTGGATTCAATTACGATTGCCAAAAAAAAAATCAGAAGCCGGCTGGTTGCTTCTGTCTATCCATCTTCCAAATAAAATTCAGAAGGGATGGTGAATGAACCTTCTCCAGAAGAGAACACTGCAGGGCAACATGATGGGAAGGTACATAGAACTATATATTTGGTATATTCCACTTGGAGTTTGATTTATGTATATAAAGTAGGGAGACGAGGCCAATTGGCAACTGCTCTTTCTCGGCGGCAGGCAATTTCTCGGCGGCAGGCAAGACAAGTGGAGTAGGAATAGAAGGATAGGAGTGTAAATCTAGTATAAAACAAGGAGGCCGGCACGTAATTCAGAATACAATTTTGTGGTGGTCCCAACTCATGAGAAAGCTGGAGCAGTACGTGATGAATGGATCTAGTATATGTGAGCCGGCCGGAATACAATTTTGTAGTGCCAACAACTCGTCAAAAAAAAAACTCCCATAGGAAATGACCGCGTTGGTGCCCTATTATGGCGCGAATGCTATAAAAGACGGCAGACACCGTGCACTGAAGACCGTACCTGCCAGTCCATATCATAGATGTTTGGTTTTCCATTTGTCGGTTTCTGATCTTTTGCGCGTGAATAGCTGTCGTCGACGTAATTAAGTCATTGCTCTTACCTCCTTGACATATTGCCATTACATCTTTCAAATTATTTTATATGTATTTATTGCGCTGTTGAAAAGGACGTGAAAACATGATTATGTTTCCATCCTGATCAGAGGTTGTGCTACTTCTTTAAGAATCATCTTATAGATGACTTCTTATGTTGGCAGAATCATGTCCGAAAGTTCTTGATGTCTCGTCTAAATGGATGGTCAAGAGGGAGGAATTGTCAATGTTTGTCGAACGAAGAATACTTACCACCCTTCATCAACCAAATGAACATCAAAGATGCCTTGCATATTGGGCATGAGAACTTCCGGTGAACACACCAGCCGCAGAATATCCCATACGCCAGAAAGTCATGCAGGGAGTACTGGTACCAAACATGCATTTTGAAGTTTGTCTTTGTAGCTCGGTCGTATTTCCATACCCCTTCCTCCTAAGCACGGACCAAATCATCAATCAGAGGCTTCATGTACACACTCATATTATTCCCCAGGTGTTCAGGAATTATCAACGACAAGAATATGTTCTATCATTGAAAGAGGACGCCACGGGGGAGATTGAGAGGGATAACAAACATGGGCCAACAAGTGTATGAGGCAGCTGCCATTCCATAAGGATTGAACCCATCTATTGCCAGCGCAACACGTTCATTACGAGCCTCTAGAGCTTTCTCATGATGAATCATATCAAACCTTGTCCATGCTTCACCATCAAATGGATGCACCAGCTTCTCAGGATTGTATCGACGTCCATATTTGTGCCATGTCATCTGTTTCGCGGATTCCTCAGTCATATATAAAGCCGTTGGATCCTCGATATGAATGGAAGGTACCATAGGATCTTCACAGGGATGGCGAGCTACCTCTTCTGACCATCACCAGAGTCTACCTCTAGGAACCTAGATGATTTACACTTCACACAGTACTTTGCTTCTGCATGTTCTTTCCTAAATAAGATGCATCCCTTCGGACAAGCATGTATCTGCTAATATGGCATCTTAAGTGCATGAAGGAGTTTCTGTGCCTCATACATGCTCTTTGGTAGGATGTGACCATCTGGGAGTAGGCTACCAACAACTGTCAGCATAACATCGAAGGCTTCTCGACTCAAGCTAAATTAGGACTTTACAGCCATTAGACGTGCAATGGCATCCAGTTGAGAAACCTTGGTATGCCCGTGAAGGGGTTGCTATGCTGCAGACACACATATAGTAATACGCCTTTGCGGTTGCCTTTGGCTCCTTCTCCCTATGTCCTTCATCGAAGTGTGCTTCATGATAGTCATTTAACATGTCTCCTACCCCGGCATCGGCATCATAATCCTCGATGCGTTGTCTCACGACCTCGTCTCTCACACGATCAGATTCACCATGGTAGATCCACCGGGTATAGTCCACCGTAAATCCATTCTAGCAAAGATGTTTACCCATGAGCACCTTTGTTTGTCGACGCGTGTTTGCACAAATGCTGCAGGGACACCAAGTGGCATGCGCTCCTTTAACCCTTGCAAATGCTAGTTCCAAGAAAGCATCGGTCTTCTCAATCCATTCATCGGTGAACGAACCCTGACTAGAGCGGCCTATGTACATCCACTCACAGTCATCCATCCTCTAACATATCAGCAAGTAATATAAAAATCAATTGCATCTATAGGTTCCTACGTGGCGGTCTAATAGGTGAAGATAGGTCCTAATCCCACCCAAGGATGTGTAGATGGGTTTAGTTTCCATGCTCTACTCCTATCCGAGATAGAATTTCGGCAGCACCTCCTTGCTGTTCTCCAAATACACGTCCTGGCAGCGAGATTGTGTATCCAGAGAACAACAGGGAGATGCTGCCGAAACTCTGTCTCGAATCGGAGTAGAGCATGGAAACTAACCCCATCTACACATACTCGGGCTATCCTAAAAACATGGACAATTCGAAATAGATACGGGTATAGATATGCAAAGATCTTCATACTTCCAACCATGTCTCTTTTGAACGGGAGACGCCTAGCTAGGTTACTTGATATACGAACATCTTATGTTTCACATCATATGGAAAGGGGGGTGTAGGATGCCTCACCTTGCTGTAGGGCAAAGTGACAAGTCGACGACGGTGGGGAACGATCTTTGCAATGGCCTCTCCTGCAACAAAGGAACATAATAGTGTCAATTATAAATTTCGGTAGCACCTCCCCTACATGGTGAGGTAACCACAACCTGCAACAAACCAACGGCACGATGGCCGACAACCACATACACAACAAACCAACGGCACGATGGCTGACATGCATAGCTTATACCTTGCAAAACCATGGCATGGTCCAGGTCCCTTATCTGCTTGGGCGTCAGGGGCAGCAGCGGTGTCGTGGGTGGGCGCGCGAAGGGGCGCGGGGCCGGCAGAGGGGGCGCAGGGCCAACGGTGCAAGGACGGTGGAGGGGCCAGCGGAGGGGGTGCGGGGCCATCAACATTTTCTCAGAATTTATGGAACACTGGAAATATTTATCTCATAAATCACCTGATTATATAAAGAAATGAATAAAGGTATCTAAATATATTAGTTTGGCATAAACATAATGTTTCCTGTCATCCTTGTGATGCATATGATCTTCTAATAATGGTAGTTGTGCTTGAAGTTGATTGGTTATAAGCAGCTAATTAATTATTGCTTTATAATTCCGCTAGATGGCTGCAGGAG